GAAGACAGATGCTTAACAACTGAGCTACCCAGGCACCTCCTGCCTTGCCTCTTTTAAACCAGAGCAGCCAAATCCAGCCTTGGGTGGCCATAGCTTCTTGAGACCTAATGCACGATGACTTCTCCAGCAGCCAGATGGGCTGTGTTGGTGGCTGCTGCCTAGCATTTCTTTGGAAGCCACAAGTGGGTAAATGAAAGGTGGGAGATACTCTCCAATCTACCAGCATACTTTTATCCAAACTTTTAACCACATTTCTCCAGCTACCAACATCCCTGCCACACTGCCCACCCCTGCTCCTGCTTCATTTATTCATCCCCTACTTGAAAAGTAGGAATATAAGCTCTCTATTCAATGCATACCTTATTATTATTGAATGTTATCTTCTTCCTTCCCTCCTTTCGCTCTGCATTCAGATAATTATTTCTTTTTAATTCTACATCTCCAACTTTCTTCTAATTTCTTTTCCTCTGAGTCTAAGTACTTTATACAAAAAAAATTGGAAAAATTGGGCCGGTCCTTCCCTCCACCTTTAACTTTCTAGCTGCAGTTTGGTCTAGAAAATTCTATTCAGGAGCAAATAGAGAGTTGGTCCTCACTTAGCTCGTTCGGCTGTCCATTGGGGAAAATTCTGTTCTGTGGACTATCTCTAATGCTGACACCCCCAGCTCCTGCTTCATTTATTCACCCCCTGCTTGAAAAGTAGGAATACAAGGTCTTTATTCAGTATATCCCAATGTATATATAGAATGAGGACAGGCTAGAGGCAGGTCATGATAATGGAAAAAGCCCTAATATCTCAATCTTCCACAGAAATATAAGCTCGTGGTTTAATAAGAGACGTTTTTTCCCTTCCATCACTAGCAGGCCTCACAAATCTCAGTTTGCCTATGGCTTAGAAGTCAGGCTAGTCCACGTCCTGAAACAGGTGGGAAACTTGTGTTCATCACTTATTCATTCAGTAAATATTTTTGAGTGCTCGTCATGTGCCAGGCATTGTCTGAGGCATTGATGAATATACTGTGGACTAAAGCTCATTAAAAACAAAACCCTGCCTTTAGGTAGCTTACTTCTCGTGGGCAAGACAATAAGCAAGTAAAAACCATGAAACATATAACATGTCAGAAGGTGATGTGTGTTCTAGCAGGGAAGGGGCAGAGGCACTGCTGGGGGGAGGGGTGGTCAGGGAGGACATTGGTAGTAAGTGGACATGCAGCAGAGACTGGAAGGAAGAGAACAGAGCTCTGTGTCAGAGCAGGTGTACGTCAGGAAGAAGAGTGTTCCAAGTGCAGAGAGTAGTAAGTGCCAAGCCCTAGGGCTGGAGGATGCTCTGTGGGTCAGAGGAATCACCAAGAGGAGGGTTTGTAATAATGCTAAAGAGTGGGCCCAGGAGGGCAGAGTCCGGAAGGCCT